GGACAGCGAGGATCACGGAGGCGGCGGCGACGTGTCGAAATCGAGCAGATCGGTGCGCCGGAGAAGGCTTTCGAGGCGGCCGGCGCAGGCTCCGGCGACGCTGCTGGAGTCGATCGGAACGCTGTCGGAGACTTTGAGGTTCACGTATTCCGAGACCTTCGAGAAGTGGGCAATCGACGATTTGGCCTCCGGAATCAACTACTTCATGCGCAAGCAGGTAAGTTTTATGAGATTCTGAATAAAATTGATAGTTTTAAGTGAAATTGAGTGGTTTCTGTTTCTGAGCATGCAGAAAGGTGCAGGCTTTTGGGGGGATTCTGACTTTGGGAATAATGGGCCCGTGTGTGTAATGGTTTGCATTTTGCAGGGTAATTTGGCAGTTGCAAGTGTCTATGCTGGGAGTGATTCTGTGCAGCTCAAAGGGGATGGGATAATTGTGGAGCTGTACGAGTTGTTGAGGCTTTTGACTTTGTGTATGCTTTTCTCTAAGAAGCCATTTCCTGTGTTTTTAGATTCTGCTGGGTTTTCCCTTGATGATGTGCTCATTCAGAAACCGAAAGCTGGGGTATGTTTTGTCCTTATCCACTCTCTCTCTCTCTCTCTCTCTCTCTGCTCTATTACTTTCTGTTTGTGTATTTTATAATTTTGAGGTGAGTGGTGGAGAGGAGTAGAACAGACCACATGCTCTCACAGAGAGTCTGACTCAGCCACTCAGATGAGTTTAGAGATAGTGGCATCATTCTCACCGTTGTTAAGAAGAAACGACAATGAATTGAATCCACAGATCACTGTATTTATATATTGATCCTCACTGTAAATATTTTATATACTAAAAGAAAACTATTAGCAAAAAAACACAAGTTTTTCTTAGGGTCCTTTGTAGGTGACAAAAAGTGCTCTTACGTTTCCCCTTTAATCTTTGTCCCCATATTTGGGTTTATACGTGAAACTTTTGTTTACTCTTTGAGATAATAGGGAGCTATAGTTTGGATTACCTGTGGTGTAATAGGCATTTTGAAAATTTTTTACACTATTTTTTTCTTGCTTTTTTTTTTTTTAACATTAAGAGATAGGAGACTCCTTGTGGCTTAAGGAGATAGAGAGACAAGAAACCTACACACTATTCAACATGTCACATTAGAGAATCCTTTCCCCCTGCTGTATTATTATCTATATGTAAAACTTATGTTTTGTAGTGGAAGTGTGCATGTTCTAATAAAACAAGGTGTACTTCAACAAATTTAAATCCCAAGAGATTGAAGACAAAATGAGTATACAAAGCCAGGCTACCTTTTTCAGATTACTGTAATTTTCAACTGCTATTCTTTTGTAAACAGTCAGTATTTGGAGAAGTCTGGAATGTTGGCTTATCATTTAGAGTAATCTGTTAAAGCAATCATAAGTTTGTTGTTTATGTCCAAAATAATCCGTAAGAGAGACTTGGGTTGTACGAAGCTGTGATGTTATAAATTCCCTGTAAGAAAAAAGTGAGGTAGGTATGTTTTTGTTTGTATGAGATGGTGGTTATTGATTTCTAGAGAAACACACACAAACAGGTGTAGACTTGAGTTTAAATTCTGAAAATATTTGACTCACCTATTTTAGTCATTAATTTTACAAAATATGATCTACATTGTCTTCTGCTATTACTCTGTGTGTGTGTTACTGTGATCTTTTTTAATATTTCCTCATGTTTTCCTAATCTTTTCTCAATTTGATGATCTGTGGCATGATATATTTTGCAGCTTCTGAAGCCTGCATTTACAATTATATGTGATACACAATCAAAATGTTTACTTCTACTGATCCGGGGTACTCATAGCATAAAGGACACACTGACAGCTGCAACTGGTGCTGTAGTCCCTTTTCACCATTCAGTTTTAAATGATGGTGGGATTAGCAACTTGGTTTTGGGATATGCACATTGTGGCATGGTTGCTGCTGCTAGATGGATTGCAAAGCTTTGCACTCCTACCCTACTTAAGGCTCTTGATGAATTTCCAGACTTCAAAGTCAAGGTATTGTTTTAAAACATTTGATTTGGAAAACTGTATCATTACATTAGTGTACTGAATTGATGACCCACTGGTAATGGCTTTGTTATAGGATCTTATTTTTTTTCTCTCATTTCTTTGTTCCTTACACTATTCCTTTTTTCAATATTTTTAAATTGTATTTCACTCTTTAATTTTATCTAATGAGTATTGCATATAAACATGTACAAGTATCTTTATTAAACGGTAATCCTATCTTATGGTTCTATAGATTGTTGGACACTCACTTGGTGGCGGTACTGCTGCGCTATTGACCTATATTCTTAGAGAGCAGAAAGAGTTCTCTTCAAGCACATGTGTCACTTTTGCTCCAGGCATGTACTGATGAAGTTTTTATTCAATTAAGATATTAGATTATTTATCAGTTTCTGCAGTTTTGAAACCACATCTCATTATCTTGATTGGAATGTGCGTGCTAGACTACAAGTTCACTAAACTTTTTGTGGCAATGAGAGATTTCCAATTACTTCAGTTCATTATTATTGTTCATCATAAGATGTACTATATCAACGTTGTTTGTATTTTTCTTACGATTTGTTTGTTCACAAAGTCAATGGTTTTGTTACAGGTTTAACATTTAATAGCAAGCATGCCTATTTTGCATTAGAATGTAATAGTGTCTAGTTACTTCTTCAAATAAACACTAAAGCATGGATGAGTGAAGAATGTAACACATCGCATGATATTCATTTGTTTTGAAAATCCTTATTCACTGAAATTGTTGTCTATGATCTTGTTTGATTACTTTCCTTGCTCAATTTTCTTTAGACATTGAATTTTCTCTAACACGGGATCCTTTCCCGTCTCATTATACAGCCAATACTAATTTTTTTGTATCATGATTGTCTCTTTTGCAGCTGCTTGTATGACATGGGAGTTAGCAGAATCAGGAAAACACTTTATTACAACCATTATAAATGGTTCTGATTTGGTGCCAACATTTTCAACTTCATCCATTGATGATCTCCGATCTGAGGTGAGCTAGCTAGGACTTTCGATGGTTTTGACAAACATTAATGTTCATTACTTAATTTGTAAACTAATTTTATCTAGAAGGCTTTTTTTATTTATTTATCACAAAACTAATAATTTTGAAAAATTATGCAAAAGTCAATTAAATAGGAGTGGCAATGAACCATGCTGGAGGTGTACATTAGACTCAATTTGTGATGTAATCTTGCTTCTGCATCTTACTCGAGTTGGTTTGTTACTAGGTCACTGCATCCTCTTGGTTGAATGATTTACGGGATCAGGTTGAACATACGAAGGTCCTGAATGTTGTCTACCGATCTGCAACTGCACTTGGATCTCGCTTACCATCTATTTCCAGTGCAAAAGCTAGGGTAGCTGGTGCTGGTGCTATTCTATGGCCAGTAACCAGTGGCACACAGGTAACTTCAACTTCAAGCTGTGCCATATCCAATTAACATTATTTAACATCTAGCACATAGTGCTATTTGGGATCTAGCTTTCAATATGGGATTCCCCATCAGTTGGTCAATTTTGTAGTTAGCTATCTGTACTTAACATGGATCATCCTTAATCTGATGTAGATCGTGTTTTATATTGCAGGTTGTGATGAGGCGTGCACAGAGTGTTGCTGAGGCTGTTGTCAGAACTCGGTCATCACTGTCATCATGGTCTTGCATGAGTGCACGCCGCAGAAATGTGGGTCCATCAGTAAACTCTAAATCAGAGGATTTAACCGAAGCATCTCTAATATCTGCAAGGAACACAGAATCTGTTATGACTGAAGAGGTAGTAGTAGAACCTATGCTTAAGGATGAAAGTACATCCTCAAGTGGAGGATCTGGCCATGATGACACAGATGAAGAAGAGCCTCTCATTCCTGCTAATCAAGACATCACTGCAACAGCTGTTGACGAATTAACAGAAGGCCAGTTATGGTATGAGCTAGAGAAGGAGCTTCAAAAGCAGGATAATGTTATGAACATTCATGCTCAAGAAGAAGAGGCCGCAGCAGCAAAAGAGATCACAGAAGAAGAGAGTCAACTTGTTGATGCTGCTGCAGAATGCAGTAGCAGTTCAATCACTACATCAGACAATTTGGACAGCCATCGATTTTATCCCCCTGGCAGGATCATGCATATTGTTCCTGTACCTTCATCGGATGAATCAAATTCAAATTCTGATGACCCTATAGAAGAACATGTCTGCTTATATGAAACTCCCAGAGAGCTGTACAGCAAGCTCAGACTTTCAAAAACCATGATAAATGATCATTACATGCCCATGTATAAGAAGATGATGGAACTATTAATACGAGAACTAGAGAAAGATAGCAACTGTAATATCTTGAATTAAAGGAAACAAAATAGCAATTGCGAAATTGTTAGTGGACTGAGTACATACATATTTCAGTTCTTTTTTTATCCTTGCTGGCTACTGCCATGCTGTAGAAAATTTTGGTTGTATGAATTTGATTCTTTTATGGTAGGTACATGTATAAAATGAGAAATTAAAGATGTATTTATTGTTCATTTTATGAGGTTGTAAATCTAACAAACTGGAAATGCAGTTTTTTGTCCAATGCATTCACTCGTTTTGGAGGAGTAAAATTAACTTAAATACTTGTATTAGGCCTGTCAGGACCTCGGCTGATAAGTACAGTGATGCTCAGGTATTCACTGTTTACGATGTACATGCATTATGTGGTCAACTTCGTATTCAAGCTTGATTATCTCTTGATGTGAAATTACTTAATGCAGATTTTTCTAGGACAACTTAGGGATCGTTATCTTAAATATAATATTTAACTAAAATCTAACAATCATTGAGGATTAGCAATAAAATCATGATGGAAGATGGAGCATGTATACTGCAGTACCAGGCTGAGGTAAATTGGTACTCATCACAATGAAAATGAGAAGTTGAAGCACATGGTTTCTGAAACAAAAACACGTTTGAATCTTGGGCGCTAAAGAATAATGTGCTCAACCAAGGAAACAATTAAACGGTACTCAGCAACAAATTTCTTTTACACACATGCTAAGGTCAGTTGTATTGATGCTGTTTTTAGCTTGATATTCAGCACCAAATCGGAAGAGTGAAAGTCGTGAATCATGAATTATTAAAGATTGTACAGTTTTTATATTGAAGAATCAAGCCCTTCAGCCCATCTGCCATCACTTTACATTGATATATTCATTGCTGCTAAAATTATCAACCGCCATAGCGGTGCTTGAGGGATTCAGGGGGCTGCTCTTCCATGATACCAGAACCTGTTGTTGCCAAGTACTCGCGAATGGTTGTTTTCCGGTCAGCAAGATAAGTGTGATCCAGAAAGTTGTTGTAGGCTGTTTCACCAAGATTCTTTGCTGCTAGTACACTACAAAAAATTTCACTAATACTGTTAAATTACAGGGAATCTAACTCTAGACTGGGTCTAAATAGTGGAAAGCTTTGTTTGCCAATTCTATTATCATGGTTTTGAGGAAACTAATAATTTTTTGTTTCTCACATTGAAAGAAAATTGAAAAGGGATACGTGAAAACTTGACAAGTAGACAGAAACTATAATGAGGAGAATTGTTGCTCGTGAATTTGTGACCTGTGTGAACAGGCAATCCAATTTACACAATAGGTATCGTCATTAGGAAGTAAATTGCTGTCAGTTGCATAAATGAATCTGTAGAGTACATCTGACAGCGAGGTTAGCTGATTAGAAATTTAGATGAAACGTTGTGATTTTAAACTACAGAGAATGCTAACAAGAGTCCTTGAGACATTGGTTAAGAAATAAGAAAATAGAATGTTTTTACGCTCCAACGTGATTTCCCACTGAACTCTTTTAACGATTAAATCTTTGACTGGTGCCTTAGTTAGCATAACCCTTGTACTATTTCCCCTGTTGAACATCTACTAAGAAAAAAATGACAAATGGGTTTTCACCCAGTGCTTACCAGTGTCTAAGATAAACCCGACAAGGTAAGACATCATCTCTCCAAATTTTATCTATATTCCACCGTCCATATTGCTGAAAATAGATTTCCTTGATTCCTGAATGCAACTGTAATGTAAGAATGCATAAATGAAGACAAAAGACAAGAAATAAGAGAGAAACAATCTAGGTATGACAAAAGGCATGCATAAATAGACAGTCAGATTTTTTCTTTTACGTAAAATATATAAATCACCTAGAGCTCTATGATTGGAGGAAAATCAAATTTAGTGAACTATCGCACCCTTCTTTTTGCCTAGCCAGAAAGGTAAGAAATAGTGAGGAATGTCTAGTAATATTTTGATTGTTGTAAACATCCCACCAAGCAGAATATAGAAAACTGGTATTGTTATAAATAATTCAGTTAGTATTGCATATTCGTTAATTAGTTAGTAGGCTGTTATTTAACCGCTTGTTATTGTACAATAAATAGTAATATGATGTATTACTATACATGGACGTGTGAGAAACAAAATTTTAGATTCAGTACTCAAATCTCTACTCTCTCCTTTTTCTTCACTGTTTTTTATCATCTAAGTCCTCACGAGTTTTTCCACAAATACAAACTCTATTCAATTCACAAGAAATTAGTTGGTATTCTCCTTAATCAGATTCTGGGTTAGATTTAAGAATAGAAGATACTATTTAGTATGCCGGACACAAACGTGAAAAAATAATTTGGAAGAACCAGCCTTTCAAGTTTCCAAAACATTACATGCCTCTTGCTCTTAAAAAGCACCACGCCAATGAAAAATTACCTTTACATCTAATGTTGAAAAATTCCTCATCACTGTAACGGGCACAAAGGACCTGAAAAAATTTTGCCACATCGAATGACCAATTTGCTAATGAAATGACCAACATTCCTTATGAGCAGAGACAATTCATGTTTTGCCACAACAACAACAGTCATCACATACCGCTGGAAAATCAAAAGCATGGCCATCAAGCGTTTCAGGAAGAACCTAACACACAAGGAACCAGAGATCTCAAGCCACCACATAAAAAAATATCAGAAGACTCAAAATATAAAAGCAGCAAGCTAAAAATCTGCATCTAGATGCTTACAGCAAGAAACCGAAACTCAACCTCCCTCTTGATGAAATCTGGAATCTAAAAATTCATCCATAGAAAATATTAGCTCCAGTGCTCAAGCTAATAAAAAACCGGCACACGCTAAATCTGAAACTGCCAGATTCCCTGTATTTTCGGCGCATTACGCAGTCAGTAAATTGTATCATTAAACAAAGATTAGACAACTCATTCTATCTTGGTAGATAGAACTTAAACCACTCATTCGAGATCAAAGCCGTCTAATCTTCATCCAATGGCTACAATTCTCTGATTACGTGATGCGTGGAAAGTTCGACTGCAACAAATCCAGAATTTAAAGTATTCAGTACAGTACCTCAGATTTTCTGATCTCAAACACTGTTACTACAAGAGTTTCTCCTTCACATGGCTCCACACTCAAGCTCGAAATCTCCTAATAACATTTTCATCACACACAGCATAAGCATTACAGTTCCAACGTCCCTTCCAATTTTTCCTTATTTTCAATTTCACAATAAAAGAAATAAAAATGGGCACAATTGTTCTTCCCACACTAAGAAGAAGTAAGAGTTACGGTGTTGTCAGAACGAACCATGGTTTCGGGCTTCGCAATGCCGCGCTCGAAGAAAACCGGAGCGACGTGCGCGAAGACCCGCCGGAAGCTTTTCAACTGTGCGGTTCTGAAGTTTGCCAAATCGGGGAAAGTGCTTCGTGCGCTTCTCTCTGCGAAGCAAGGAACGGTTACGTCGATGAAGAGGAACAGTAATAGTAGAGAAAGCGCACGTGGTAGTAATGATAGTTTACCGGAGAGGAGAGAGCCGAAACCGCATATGGAGATGTAACCGTCCGGAGAGAGGAGAGATTCGAAGTCGGACTCATCGTTGAGTTCGGCTGGGACTGGAGTGGATGATCGGAGAGCAGCGGAGGCCATGGCGGTTTTGGAGACAGAACGAGAAGCAAAAGAAAGTAAGAAAGTGGCGCGTTTGTGGGACGCGCGAAAGGCGAGTGATGAGAGTTGGAAGGGGAAGTTTATGGAGGCAGTGGTGGAGGCTATGTTCATCGTATAACAGCGACTGTTAAAAGCTCGAAGCGGACACGCGACAGGGCGCGATTGAGTAGTTAGAATTTGTTGAGAAGCTGATAAATTCAGACACAAATTCTTACACTTGTTTCTTTTTTCCCTAATTCAATTACATTAGCCGTAATGACATGTTCACGATCAAAAATTAGTCACATGAACTTTATATAATTTTAGATGATTTGGAGCTTTATCAAAGTTAAGGTGATGTTTTCTTTTTCATAACAATATTGACGAGACTATTTATATGGTAAAAAAAACTTTGTATGAAGAAAGTTTAGTTTGACATGTTATATTGAGCTAGAATGGAATAAATTATTATAGCAGAATCTGTCAATGGACATGTTACACAAAAGAACCAATGCTTCCATGGATAGGCTGTTTGAAATCATGCCTTCCAACATTTCCTAAATTTAACCATCAGAACTAAATTGAGACGGTGCCTGATTCAATTTACAGCACACGTTTACATCACATTTTTTATCATCATAGATTATATTGACTGGTTTTTAAGACAAAAAAAGGTTAATTCAACAATAGGGGACAAAGAAACCAGTAATGGCAACGAAATATAGCATATTCTTACGAAACGTTGTCAGTTTGTAGTGTACATCTTTGTCTACGAATATTATTGAACAGATTTTTTTATAAAAATTAAATTGATATCATTTATACAGTGAACAGTTACAGATACATTCTCTACAAGAATATCGTGATTATACCGTGTCTCCGAACCCCCACCCCCCCCTTTTCTTTTTCTCACCAACAGAATTGTAATAAAAAGAATTCTGCAGGTATTAAATTATAACCTATAAAAATTGAAAAAGAAAACCCAAGATATGTTATGTACTGGGAGACATCGTACTCAATGGAAAACTTGAGTAGCGTAGTATTCGCTTTCATTAAAAGCAGGTCTCAGACTTTCCTGACACATGAACTCCAAGGGAAAAGAGACCAGGTGACCCTTCACTGATGCTAATCTCTCCAAGGGATCGGTGTTCTTAATGCCTCCATCACGATAGGATTCCAATTTTTCTGGGGCTATTCCTAAATCAATGGTCGTGTGACCAATCCTTTCTTTCCAAAAAAGCACACTTTGTCTGAAGGCATGTCTGCAAAAACATACGATTAAAATAAATGTTAGGGACTGACAATGGAGAAGTTTCATCAAAAGATGTACGATGGGCAAAATTATTACTGACATACCTGGTGTGTATCAGATCATTAGGTACGCAAGAAAAGACATCCTGGTAAATTGTAGTATTTGTCTGTAAAACGTATCCAGGGATAATTATCAGTTTTATTACTGAAAAAATTTCTCATTAAGCTATTCAGAATCATCACAAGATCTCCAAGAGGAACTCAAATCACCTAGAAAAACATGTGCATATTTGTTTTTGTGTGTTTTGTGTCCGCAATGTTACGAGGCTAACCGTGTAAAACCGAAAATATATAATCATAAATATCTTGTACAACAAAATAGTAATGCAACCTAAATAACTTCCCACGGGCTTTGGTGCATTGCAGTGTAAAAGGACTCTGGAAGAGTCAACAATAAAGTGCAAAACTTTCATGCCATAAAGTTCAAGCACATACTATAGATCTGTCCTTCACAGATGCATATCCAGTATTGCCCGTTATCCCCCACACTGAGATTAGAATTTAAACTGACACTAACTGACCATGCTAGATATTTTGACAAAATCTTTTTTTAATATAGTTGGCCACATGAATCAAAAAATATCATCATTTACTTGTCATAAAATCAAATCCTCAGCAACTTCATTAGGTTTTATGTCCTTTTTAATGATTTCAAAAAGATTTTTCTTAGTTTACCTTTGCTTCCAACTTGCAAGGGTATTCTCCATCATATCCAATTTAAACAAAATTAAAGTTGAAGTAGGCAATTTGCTATATAGCCAAAAAGAAATTAAAAAGAAAAGAAAATAAACCTCAAAACAGACACAAAATGAACAAGCAAATATGTATCAGCTATCATCAATTCCAATCTTCAATAATTAACTAAATGGATGGGCAATGATATAATGAAGAAAGCAGAGGTCACTTTAAAGGATAACTATTTATGCAAAAAATACTTTTAGAAGAATAAACTTATGCACGAAAATTTCCATATAACACTAGTAAGTTTATAAGAATATATCACTTAAAATACCATCATTCATATCAAAAGAGGTGAAATTAGCAACGAGTATCAACATTCTATTGTTCTTACTACCTTTGCCGTAGCCATCCAAATATCCTTGTAAGTAGATTCAACAACTGGGTCCATTATTTGATTGTCCTGAGGAAAAGATATTAAAATAATCATTACAAATCAGGCACATGAAACAACTACTTACTAAGAATGTAAAATTAACAACCTCTCCTGTAGGGAGACCCAAGTGCTCAGACCATAAGGACAATCGAAGGGTCAAGGAAAACTTTCCAGCTTTCCAAGGTTTTCCATCCATATAAGAACCAATCAACTCTCTGTCTTCTATAACTACGGCAATCTGAATTCCAGTGAGAAGATTCAAGGAACAGAAAGGGGTTCAATAATTATGCATTAACAGATAACTTAAAGCCAAAAATAAGAATATGAAAAAAGTACATGGCAAGCAGACCAATTTATTTATTCAATACATAATTTTAAAGGTGACTAAAAGGGGGTTTGCAATAAGACAGACCTGCCAGTTGAAATTATTCATTCATTAGTTACATATTTTATTTTAGGGAGTTCCCTGAATTTGTTAACACGTTAAACTATATATATAAAGAGTAACATTGAACTGAAATCGTATGCTTTTGTGACATGCACGGATGGTTTGTTTATATTTATAAACAGAAATCAATAAAATAAATAGAGGAAATTTTATATCCTCCACTAATAAAGATACGATCCTAGAGTGATCTTGATATTTCTGATTATAAAGATATGATCATGATATCTATAAAGAACGATTCTTATTTCCGTAATTATCACAAACACATTTATGTCAAACTAAGGATTTTAAGAAGAAAATTCAAAGTTTATCAAGGCTGAGAATTAGATTTGCAGTCTACACGCTTCCAATAAAATGTATACACACGACAAGATAACAAAATATCAGTTTCATTAGGAATCAAATGATACATTAATGTATCCTGATAAAATGCACTTAATGTTCGCGGAAATTAGTAAGTAGGCAGATGCAGTCAATTAATGAGTCCCGAAAATAATCTCCCCTAAGACTACCAAGAGTCTACAGATATGAATGCTATGTATAATTTATGTACACATGCACATTCTCTTGAATAATAAAGTATTATCATTCTCAATTCTGTCTTAAACATTTATTTCTATATTTCTCCTTTCCCCTCCAAATTCAACAATTGCAACTAACTTGTTTCTATAATGAAATTTAGCACGGATGAAAATTATTTCAATGAGGGTGCATGAAATGAGATACAGAGAACTTAGTACAAGTTAATTTGAACCCCTATGTGCAACGAATAAAGTGAAAAGGGCATGGAACTGTACCTCAGAATCTCTGGAGCCAAGTAAGCTCCTATCATTAATATTAGCAGATCCAATCAAAGTTATACTGTCATCAACAATCATGATTTTACTGTGAACATACACCTGCAAAAAAGTTTATACCATTAAGCTGACTGAAACAAACTCTGTACATAACCATTGATGTATAAGAATACCTGGCTGGTTGCCACAGGACCCCCATTAAGTCTACCATAAGACCTTAGACCATAGAAAGAGATGTAGTCATGTATTTTAGGACCAAGAAGTTCATAAAGATTATGCAAGATAGAATTCTGCCCCCTGCAAATGGTTCGATACTGCCAGTGCATTATGGCTCTTACAGATGCTGCACCACTATCATCAAGGCCCCCCTAGTTAACAGAAAAGTCAGTCTAACATTTATGCAAAAGCAATATTTACAGTGTTTAAATAAAACAAGAATAAAATTGATAGGAACCTGGAAGCCAGGCAGCAGTGGTATGACAATTATAACCCTGAAAGTTTTTCTGTCATTGTAAGCTCGCATAATTCGTCGGTATAAAGCTTCTAACACACGATTGCGTATCATCTCATCCCCAGAAAGACCTGAGATAAAAAACTGATTCTGGAATATGTGCCCAAGAATGAATTACAACAGTCAGAGAAAGATCCAGAACACATTAAGGATGTAATAAAATATCACAACCACCACTCCTTTAATTTGAAAAAATGAAGAGAGGAGCAGAATATATAATATTGCTTCATCAGTTCAAGAATCCATAAAACCTACACATTATATATTTATTAGAATATATATTATAGCATATATTAGAATAGAGATAAATGATTTTCTTTTATTCTATATGCTAATATATTCTAATGTAAAAGGAGGAAGTTTATTTAATACCTCAATGTAGATGAAGTATTCAGCTTTCTCAATAAGAGAACAATAAGCACTATGGATGCTCTCTTCGGTTTGACTTGTTCCCGCAGACCATTGACTCACGCTCCTAATAACCTATCAATGAAAAGGTTTATTGAGAAAAATATCCAACAAATGTTGAAAAATTAAAAGGATATTAAGACAAGAACAAAAGGAATAAAATAGTGTTTAATACACGCCTGTAAAAATTTAATAATTCCAGCAATATAGTTTACTCTTTATGTTGAAAAAAATGGATAAAAGCCAAGTGTTAAAAATATCTGACTTTTCTCAATAAATAATAGTTAACTATTAAGTAGGTCATGAGAACAACGCACTTGGCAACGGCAGGAAGCAAGAGGACCAACTTGTCCTGATTCCTCAGGAAAACCTCCCTGGTCACCCCGTTCTTGCGTCTCCCACCATTCTGGATCTGTATTTTGCAAATCAGAATGAGCCACTCTATCTAGAGACATTTTCTCGCGATCATGCTCAGAATCCAGATCATCTACAAAGCCCTTCATTGGTGTGTCTGAACCAAGTGCTACAATTTTAGCCTTGCGAAATGAAAAGGGGAGACCAGTGCTGATCCTTCTTGGCTTGTCCAGGCAATGTGAAGAGGAGATTACACCATTCAACTTTTGGTCTCCTTCATGAGTATCCGACCCATCAGACTCCTGGGGCAAAAGTAGAGGAATATCTTGGTCTTGGGAAGATGAGGAAAAAGAATCTTCTCTTTTAAGAACTGTTTGATTGTCTATGTTCCCACTTTGAATCTGTATCTCTCGGCTTCTTCCCAAGTAATGTGGAATAACCATATGATGCTGAGGCATTAGTAATGGTATTGCTTCCTCATATAAAGCTTTGTTCCTCTGATTTGAACAAAAACAAGATTATTTCCTATTGGGAATATAGGAATAGAACTGGAATGATTCAAGGCATCCAATGGTAAAATATGACTAACCTTTGCATAATTCCATCGCTGAACAAAGTGCCTAGCAATGTCACGGCAAGGTGGTCCCCAAAGGGCACAATGAACATCGTGCCAAGGCATACGAGGATATTTCTCACGATCCAATTCATCTTTCATTGTATCTTCCCATGAATTTGGTTCAGATTCTCTGTCAAAATTGAAAATAAAATGACTTGTGTTCAACAGGTAAGAGCTAGTCTCTAATCAATCAAAGATGAATGACATATTGTAACACATTCCAAGCACAACCTTGCCAATCATTTTCTTTGAAATTTTCATAGATATTTATTGGGGCACATCATATATTATATATGTAAAATGTTAGGATCAATCTTAGGAACTGATATAGAATTGTATACTTGTATAATTGTATCACAGCATGCTAAACAAAATCTTACAATGTGCCTTCGTGATTATACACTCTATTCACAAAACTTACCTTGGGTTATAATAGTCTTTTCCCGGCCAGGTTAGAGGAGGGAAATCTCCTACGTTATGCTCAGATGTGTCATAACGACCAAAGCATAAATCCAGTCCTCCAATAAAGCAAATATGGTTATCAATAATGACAAGTTTTTCATGGTGTGACCTGTATGTAATAATCACAAACAAATAAGAAACCAAAAACGTGCAGTATAAATGATCTTTTCTTGGAAAAAATACAAGTTTGTTATAAGACCATATAGACTAAACACCAAGTTTTCGGTAATTCCATACCACAGGTAAACACCAGTAGAAAAGTGGTCAGGATAGCGTAATACCCTCACATTCTCATGAATGCCAAGAAGCTTTTTCTTGCTATAAACACTGTTGATTTTCAAAGCAAGAGCCACCTCTTTGTAGAGAAGAATGTAAATCTGCATTAAAAATAATTCAAGCAAATCTCAACACTTCCATGGAAATAAAGGAGTTTGGACATGCATTGCCCAGGTGGCATACAACACAGATGAGTGCCTTTGCAACTACGTTTTGATAGTATAGACTGTACTGATCTTATAAAATCAATTCATCTACTCTTCTCCACTATGACATTAAAATCGTTTATAAAAAAATACAGTTCTATATGTGGTATGAAAACATTCAGCCAGTACACCATTCATAGAACAAACAATAAAGCAAATTGTGGACCTACTTGTTCTACCAAGAGAGGGGAGATCAATAACAAAGTTTTACTCAGTCATTTTTAGAAATATCCTAACGCTATGCAAGACAATTCAAAGACAACAAGCAATCATCCCTCCCTACCTAATCACGTAAAATGCATGGATTTTGGCTCACATACGACAAAAAGCAGAAGCATGGACACTGTCAAGAAATTATTTGACAGGTTTTAATACATTGCTTAAGTAGTTTTTGACTGCGTTCTTAAAGTCCATGATTCATGTGCTATGTAATGACTCAGAATTTTAGAAACAAGAAAAAAACTGTTGAAACAAGATGCTCATACAGAAACCTGGGAAAAATAGACCATAAATTTAAATGTGTGTACCTACAGTGAAATTTAGGCCAATGTCCAAGGATGAACACAATATTCACTTTTACTAGTGAAGATTACAAGGAGCAGTTAATCAAATTTCAAACCCTTAGGCCACACAAGCATATTTACGGGTCCATATCCATTTGCTTCAGCCAAACCAAGGGTTCAAAGACAGGTCAAATGTGGGCAAGGCCCCAAACTGAACACAGACACTTTGCAAATAAATAAACTCAGGACATGACCAACAACATAGAACAAGGAGTCCTCCAGTGAAAGACACAACATTATTACATTAGAAAACGATTGCAGATAAGATGACTGAAAGCTATCATACTAAAATCTTTGGAACGGTTGTATTATACTTGTCTCTTACAAGTTAAATAACCCAGAAAAAAAGAGTCCCTTAAAAAGGCAAGGCATTGCACACGAGTTCATATAAATTGTTACCTGAACCCCTTGCTTAGCTTTTCCTTCCAACAAATTATCAAGCCTTGATGAAGCATGAGTGTGAAAAGGTCGCCGTAGATACAGTTCTGGGCACAGCCACCACCCACAGATAAATATCTGCATGAATCTTTCAATAATTGAGCATAATCTCTAAAACAACCATTAATCTCTCTCTCCCTCTCAGTCTCTACCTTTCTGCCTACGTATAGGTGTGTAAAAAAGTGGGCCTGAATGTTAAGGCAGTAAAAAAACAAACCTCTGATTTTGCAGCCTCAATTGCAGAAGCAATGGCCTCAAATGCTGCTCGCCCATCAATAAACCACTGGGCTTGACTTCCATCTTCAATTAAGCCTCTTGGAGGAGCAAATGAACCATAACGGTGAGGATGACACCAGCCTTCCGGAGGCCTGAGTCCAGCATCATTAATTGCAGCAACCCAATCTTTGACTTTACTTCTACTTTTCACTCTAATTCTGATACTGCGGATTCCACAAGCCACCTATAATATTAAGTTTGGTGTTAAAGTTTGAAAAGGTATGTTCCTCTGTATAGTATTACCATACATCTGATAACCACTCGTCAGTTAATTGCTAGTAATTACATAAGAATAAACCTCAATTCGGTCCTGAAAAGAATTTTGGAACATCAATTTGGTTGTCAAAAGAAAGCTTTCAAATTCCCAAAATTACTAGATTACTGGAATTGAACACTCGATGACCAAACATTATCATTAGAGGATCCACTTGATGTTCTGAAACTATTTGAAAGACCAAATTGGGGATTTACTCAAGATATGATATAAAATAAACATATTTAAGCACAAAAGAGCACCCATCTCACCTTGAATGAATGGCGTAATGGATTCCGTTCCTTCATTTCACTTGCCAGTGATAAACGACCATCCCCATTCCCATCCGAGGCTGGCAGTACATCAAAAACAATTATGTCCAGAGGCTGTGTATCAAAAGGATCTGCCAGCAATGCCAAAAATCCAGGTTTCAGTACAGCCCATACCTGAACATAAAAATACAGGGAAGTAATAATGTAAAATTAAACCAAATATAACAAAAGTTACCTAAAAATATATAAATAACGAGATAAGTGAAGCATATCCAAAAGCATGATTCTTTACCTTTTGCCAGTTGTCATTACAGCAACTGAAACAGTCAGACAAACAACACTTTCTGGAGTCATCATCCTTCAGGATTTTGGGCAAATGTTTCACCATCACATATTCTTCCTTTAGCTTGGGGCCATATTCAGGTGAAAAAGACAACTTTGATACCTCCAAAAACTTGCAAACCTAGAGAAAAACACTTCTTATAGTAAAAACAGCATTTAGTGATCATAAAAACCACAGTTTCAACAACAAATCAAATGGAGAAGATAAAAAACCAATAAAGCAGCGAAAAATTAACTTAATTAGGCATGGATTTTAACTGAAAATAAAATATGCTTTACAAGTTTCAAGGTCCACATCACATTACATGTATTAAATATGGCTGCCAAAAACCATGGCAGTAATTTGTTTAAATTCAAGCCCTGCAGAACCAATAGGCAGCCCAGAGCACAAGCTCCCACCATAGTGGGGACTAGGAAGGATCAGATACATGTAACTTTAACCCTTAGAGTGGAGAGGCTATTCCAGACTAGAACCAGAACAAGAACCAATTCAGCCACACTAGAAACAGATTCATGATGTCAGCCTTCCCTGCCAAATCTAGTAATCAGATGCCAGGATTTCACAAGCAAAGTGTGTTGACGAACTTGGATGATCAATATTTATAATAAAACTAATATCCCATAGTAAGTTTTGGTGCAACAGTAAAGTTACTAGCTTGTGATCTAGTACAGATGGATTTTCCTCATGGAAGCCCCTCAGCTAATGAGGGGGCATGGATGTGTACATCTGAATATCTGATACTTGCCACCCCCACAATAGTAGGATAACATGCATCTCGTTGCTTTTCAATGAAACTAATATAAAAAATTAAGTCATTCCATTGCCACAGCAGTGAAGAGACATGTCTACATTTGCTTAACAAATAACCCAACCCATAACATCAAACTGTAATATTCTATGCATATGTGAAATGTCTGACACCAAATGACAATGAATCAATGACTGTGTTCCATAACATGACAACATAAATTTCAAAAGCTCATACACAAAGCATACCTCATGAGAATTCACAATACTGATATTTCCCAAAAAGTGATTCAAATATCCTTGCATTGCTCTCTTTGCCCTCTCTGCAATAGACTGCTGTCTTCCCAAGGCTGGTCGTATAATTGGTAGAGCAGCACTAGATGGAACATCTCTGCGCAAGAAACAAACGTATACAATATTATGATCACAAATCAACATGTTACAGTTATAGAGTGCTCTATAGAAGTTGCACGCTGGGGATCACCTGTCCTTAGCACTTTCATGAGTTTCATCAGTATGCAATGGGATTGTTTCATCATCACCTTCATCGTCATCTTGCTCCATAGCATTGTGTTCTCCAATTCCTAGATTTTGAAGCCATTCTTTAACCTTTAATATAATATTTCAGTGAACATTACATCAAAATCCAAACTTAGCTAGACACAAAGGATATCGACAAATAAGACAATAATGTACTGTAGCCATTGTGTATATATCATTAAAGAAATATAAATAACACTGCTCACCTGTTCCTGCTTCTCATGGATTTCCTCAATGAAGGCACGTTTTTTTAATGCGAAATGCAAAATAAATACTTGATGAGCTTTCTTCATTAACTCCCACTTGAACTGGAATGCAAATGAGATATATAAGTATCCTCCCGTAGGAATGAAGACTGAAAAAAATAAATATTTAACAAACAATGCTTCTCTTCCGTACAAATATCTCTGGGGCGGCGACAGCTACATAGGCCAGGCCAACGTTTAAAACTAACATACCCCAGTGCCAGAAGTTTCCAAGCTATGCAAAGTTATAGAGGATAGTCATTGCACGCAGTCTTACCCTTGCATGTACAAGGAGACTACTTCCGGATAAGAATTCATGACAAACTGGTCACTAAGGCTCAACTTTACAGCCAAGTGTTGGGCTGCCCCTCAAACAAGGCCAATAAAGGTTTAAACTATTGCTCACACCACCATTTATTTTTATTTTTTATTTTTTGTCTTTTTTATACGCACTTCAACTCTAAACAACTCCAAAGCCGATAAACAGCAGAAGTAAATGAGAAAAAGCTTAAAGTGTAGTTCTGAGAAAGTAAAATTAATAGGAAAAGTCCAAAGCTAACTAAGTTGCAGTGTTAGGAAAATAGAAACAAACTACAGAGCCATTGCATCACGAATTTCTGGTTCAAATTAAACCCTACGATATACTTGCCAAATACATACACACTTACGTACGTAAGTATATACGCACACGTACAAACACGGCGTATGAAGAAGCAACCGGATTCAGATAAAGGATCCAATTCGCTTGGATTTCGCACGCTTTAGCTTCACACAATTGGCACCAGTGCTTGCGATCAGAGATTTCCATTTTATTAAGAATTGAATTCCACGAAATCACGAACACACAGTGAGTGTGAGACAAGATGGCACGTTACCTGTCTGTACTGAACCTGAATGGTGTAAGAGAGTTGCATGGGGCTAATATCGCTGGCGTCGGGGCGAGACACGGAGACGATGGAGGCTTTCGGCAATTCCTCGAAAATCCGATTGGCCTCGGCGCCGCTGTGTCGGAACGACGGAACCGATGACATCTCCTCGGCAGTCGCAGCCGGCGGAGACGGCGGTGGCGAGGATTTCATCTGAACGTAGCGAGGACCGCCACTGGACATCAACTGCTCCGTGGCCATTGAAATTGAATCGACGTCGCCGGCGATAGGGAACGATTAGGTAATCAAACGCAACACGTTTCAAGGAAGAGGTGGTGCAACGACGTCGTTGGTGGTTTCGGATCCAAAAACAAATTCAGGGAGAGAGAGAGAGAGAGAGAGAGAGAGAGAGAGANACAAAACTTACCTTGGGTTATAATAGTCTTTTCCCGGCCAGGTTAGAGGAGGGAAATCTCCTACGTTATGCTCAGATGTGTCATAACGACCAAAGCATAAATCCAGTCCTCCAATAAAGCAAATATGGTTATCAATAATGACAAGTTTTTCATGGTGTGACCTGTATGTAATAATCACAAACAAATAAGAAACCAAAAACGTGCAGTATAAATGATCTTTTCTTGGAAAAAATACAAGTTTGTTATAAGACCATATAGACTAAACACCAAGTTTTCGGTAATTCCATACCACAGGTAAACACCAGTAGAAAAGTGGTCAGGATAGCGTAATACCCTCACATTCTCATGAATGCCAAGAAGCTTTTTCTTGCTATAAACACTGTTGATTTTCAAAGCAAGAGCCACCTCTTTGTAGAGAAGAATGTAAATCTGCATTAAAAATAATTCAAGCAAATCTCAACACTTCCATGGAAATAAAGGAGTTTGGACATGCATTGCCCAGGTGGCATACAACACAGATGAGTGCCTTTGCAACTACGTTTTGATAGTATAGACTGTACTGATCTTATAAAATCAATTCATCTACTCTTCTCCACTATGACATTAAAATCGTTTATAAAAAAATACAGTTCTATATGTGGTATGAAAACATTCAGCCAGTACACCATTCATAGAACAAACAATAAAGCAAATTGTGGACCTACTTGTTCTACCAAGAGAGGGGAGATCAATAACAAAGTTTTACTCAGTCATTTTTAGAAATATCCTAGCGCTATGCAAGACAATTCAAAGACAACAAGCAATCATCCCTCCCTACCTAATCACGTAAAATGCATGGATTTTGGCTCACATACGACAAAAAGCAGAAGCATGGACACTGTCAAGAAATTATTTGACAGGTTTTAATACATTGCTTAAGTAGTTTTTGACTGCGTTCTTAAAGTCCATGATTCATGTGCTATGTAATGACTCAGAATTTTAGAAACAAGAAAAAAACTGTTGAAACAAGATGCTCATACAGAAACCTGGGAAAAATAGACCATAAATTTAAATGTGTGTACCTACAGTGAAATTTAGGCCAATGTCCAAGGATGAACACAATATTCACTTTTACTAGTGAAGATTACAAGGAGCAGTTAATCAAATTTCAAACCCTTAGGCCACACAAGCATATTTACGGGTCCATATCCATTTGCTTCAGCCAAACCAAGGGTTCAAAGACAGGTCAAATGTGGGCAAGGCCCCAAACTGAACACAGACACTTTGCAAATAAATAAACTCAGGACATGACCAGCAACATAGAACAAGGAGTCCTCCAGTGAAAGACACAACATTATTACATTAGAAAACGATTGCAGATAAGATGACTGAAAGCTATCATACTAAAATCTTTGGAACGGTTGTATTATACTTGTCTCTTACAAGTTAAATAACCCAGACAAAAAGAGTCCCTTAAAAAGGCAAGGCATTGCACACGAGTTCATATAAATTGTTACCTGAACCCCTTGCTTAGCTTTTCCTTCCAACAAATTATCAAGCCTTGATGAAGCATGAGTGTGAAAAGGTCGCCGTAGATACAGTTCTGGGCACAGCCACCACCCACAGATAAATATCTGCATGAATCTTTCAATAATTGAGCATAATCTCTAAAACAACCATTAATCTCTCTCTCCCTCTCAGTCTCTACCTTTCTGCCTACGTATAGGTGTGTAAAAAAGTGGGCCTGAATGTTAAGGCAGTAAAAAAACAAACCTCTGATTTTGCAGCCTCAATTGCAGAAGCAATGGCCTCAAATGCTGCTCGCCCATCAATAAACCACTGGGCTTGACTTCCATCTTCAATTAAGCCTCTTGGAGGAGCAAATGAACCATAACGGTGAGGATGACACCAGCCTTCCGGAGGCCTGAGTCCAGCATCATTAATTGCAGCAACCCAATCTTTGACTTTACTTCTACTTTTCACTCTAATTCTGATACTGCGGATTCCACAAGCCACCTATAATATTTAGTTTGGTGTTAAAGTTTGAAAAGGTATGTTCCTCTGTATAGTATTACCATACATCTGATAACCACTCGTCAGTTAATTGCTAGTAATTACATAAGAATAAACCTCAATTCGGTCCTGAAAAGAATTTTGGAACATCAATTTGGTTGTCAAAAGAAAGCTTTCAAATTCCCAAAATTACTAGTTTACTGGAATTGAACACTCGATGACCAAACATTATCATTAGAGGATCCACTTGATGTTCTGAAACTATTTGAAAGACCAAATTGGGGATTTACTCAAGATATGATATAAAATAAACATATTTAAGCACAAAAGAGCACCCATCTCACCTTGAATGAATGGCGTAATGGATTCCGTTCCTTCATTTCACTTGCCAGTGATAAACGACCATCCCCATTCCCATCCGAGGCTGGCAGTACATCAAAAACAATTATGTCCAGAGGCTGTGTATCAAAAGGATCTGCCAGCAATGCCAAAAATCCAGGTTTCAGTACAGCCCATACCTGAACATAAAAATACAGGGAAGTAATAATGTAAAATTAAACCAAATATAACAAAAGTTACCTAAAAATATGTAAATAACGAGATAAGTGAAGCATATCCAAAAGCATGATTCTTTACCTTTTGCCAGTTGTCATTACAGCAACTGAAACAGTCAGACAAACAACACTTTCTGGAGTCATCATCCTTCAGGATTTTGGGCAAATGTTTCACCATCACATATTCTTCCTTTAGCTTGGGGCCATATTCAGGTGAAAAAGACAACTTTGATACCTCCAAAAACTTGCAAACCTAGAGAAAAACACTTCTTATAGTAAAAACAGCATTTAGTGATCATAAAAACCACAGTTTCAACAACAAATCAAATGGAGAAGATAAAAAACCAATAAAGCAGCGAAAAATTAACTTAATTAGGCATGGATTTTAACTGAAAATAAAATATGCTTTACAAGTTTCAAGGTCCACATCACATTACATGTATTAAATATGGCTGCCAAAAACCATGGCAGTAATTTGTTTAAATTCAAGCCCTGCAGAACCAATAGGCAGCCCAGAGCACAAGCTCCCACCATAGTGGGGACTAGGAAGGATCAGATACATGTAACTTTAACCCTTAGAGTGGAGAGGCTATTCCAGACTAGAACCAGAACAAGAACCAATTCAGCCACACTAGAAACAGATTCATGATGTCAGCCTTCCCTGCCAAATCTAGTAATCAGATGCCAGGATTTCACAAGCAAAGTGTGTTGACGAACTTGGATGATCAATATTTATAATAAAACTAATATCCCATAGTAAGTTTTGGTGCAACAGTAAAGTTACTAGCTTGTGATCTAGTACAGATGGATTTTCCTCATGGAAGCCCCTCAGCTAATGAGGGGGCATGGATGTGTACATCTGAATAACTGATACTTGCCACCCCCACAATAGTAGGATAACATGCATCTCGTTGCTTTTCAATGAAACTAATATAAAAAATTAAGTCATTCCATTGCCACAGCAGTGAAGAGACATGTCTACATTTGCTTAACAAATAACCCAACCCATAACATCAAACTGTAATATTCTATGCATATGTGAAATGTCTGACACCAAATGACAATGAATCAATGACTGTGTTCCATAACATGACAACATAAATTTCAAAAGCTCATACACAAAGCATACCTCATGAGAATTCACAATACTGATATTTCCCAAAAAGTGATTCAAATATCCTTGCATTGCTCTCTTTGCCCTCTCTGCAATAGACTGCTGTCTTCCCAAGGCTGGTCGTATAATTGGTAGAGCAGCACTAGATGGAACATCTCTGCGCAAGAAACAAACGTATACAATATTATGATCACAAATCAACATGTTACAGTTATAGAGTGCTCAATAGAAGTTGCACGCTGGGGATCACCTGTCCATAGCACTTTCATGAGTTTCATCAGTATGCAATGGGATTGTTTCATCATCACCTTCATCGTCATCTTGCTCCATAGCATTGTGTTCTCCAATTCCTAGATTTTGAAGCCATTCTTTAACCTTTAATATAATATTTCAGTGAACATTACATCAAAATCCAAACTTAGCTAGACACAAAGGATATCGACAAATAAGACAATAATGTACTGTAGCCATTGTGTATATATCATTAAAGAAATATAAATAACACTGCTCACCTGTTCCTGCTTCTCATGGATTTCCTCAATGAAGGCACGTTTTTTTAATGCGAAATGCAAAATAAATACTTGATGAGCTTTCTTCATTAACTCCCACTTGAACTGGAATGCAAATGAGATATATAAGTATCCTCCCGTAGGAATGAAGACTGAAAAAAATAAATATTTAACAAACAATGCTTCTCTTCCGTACAAATATCTCTGGGGCGGCGACAGCTACATAGGCCAGGCCAACGTTTAAAACTAACATACCCCAGTGCCAGATGTTTCCAAGCTATGCAAAGTTATAGAGGATAGTCATTGCACGCAGTCTTACCCTTGCATGTACAAGGAGACTACTTCCGGATAAGAATTCATGACAAACTGGTCACTAAGGCTCAACTTTACAGCCAAGTATTGGGCTGCCCCTCAAACAAGGCCAATAAAGGTTTAAACTATTGCTCACACCACCATTTATTTTTATTTTTTATTTTTTGTCTTTTTTATACGCACTTCAACTCTAAACAACTCCAAAGCCGATAAACAGCAGAAGTAAATGAGAAAAAGCTTAAAGTGTAGTTCTGAGAAAGTAAAATTAATAGGAAAAGTCCAAAGCTAACTAAGTTGCAGTGTTAGGAAAATAGAAACAAACTACAGAGCCATTGCATCACGAATTTCTGGTTCAAATTAAACCCTACGATATACTTGCCAAATACATACACACTTACGTACGTAAGTATATACGCACACGTACAAACACGGCGTATGAAGAAGCAACCGGATTCAGATAAAGGATCCAATTCGCTTGGATTTCGCACGCTTTAGCTTCACACAATTGGCACCAGTGCTTGCGATCAGAGATTTCCATTTTATTAAGAATTGAATTCCACGAAATCACGAACACACAGTGAGTGTGAGACAAGATGGCACGTTACCTGTCTGTACTGAACCTGAATGGTGTAAGAGAGTTGCATGGGGCTAATATCGCTGGCGTCGGGGCGAGACACGGAGACGATGGAGGCTTTCGGCAATTCCTCGAAAATCCGATTGGCCTCGGCGCCGCTGTGTCGGAACGACGGAACCGATGACATCTCCTCGGCAGTCGCAGCCGGCGGAGACGGCGGTGGCGAGGATTTCATCTGAACGTAGCGAGGACCGCCACTGGACATCAACTGCTCCGTGGCCATTGAAATTGAATCGACGTCGCCGGCGATAGGGAACGATTAGGTAATCAAACGCAACACGTTTCAAGGAAGAGGTGGTGCAACGACGTCGTTGGTGGTTTCGGATCCAAAAACAAATTCAGGGAGAGAGAGAGAGAGAGAGAGAGAGAGAGAGAGAGAGAGAGAGAGAGAGAGAGAGAGAGAGAAGAACGCTAGTTTTCTTAAGAAGAGGAAAACTCGGAATGAGAGTTGAACTGTGAACAACGCCAAAAGAGTGCGCACAAATTTGATTTCTTCTTCACTCGCCTTCTAGTCCTTGCCTTTTTCCTTTCCAAAAAATTCAATTAATTATAAAATAAATTTAAATGCTAAAATATCTTAGAACTAAAAACTATTAAATTCTACAATTTTATGTTAGGAAAGCCATTCAACTCTTTTGACGTTTTCAATATTAATTTTTAATTAGATTCGAAATTTTGTTTTATAACTTTTGCAATAAATCAAGGGAAAGGGGATGCTTTTAAAAAATTAAACATGACACGTATAATAGATAGCCCTAAAACTTAATTAAGGAATGTATGATAAAAAAAATATAAAAGAGATTAATCTCCATATTAAAAATAAATAAATCAAATAAGAAAATTAAAAAGAAAAATAAGGATATTGTTTTAATCTCGAACTCAGAGTTCGACTATTGAATGTGTTAAACATATAAGTTTCATGGTGAATAATAGGTTTTCTGATTCCAAATTCGTCAAGCAATATTGTTAGTGTCAATAATCATACTTTAAGATATTTGTTTTGAAATGTAAAATTTTGTCACGATTTTAGTTTTAAAAATCTTTAAAAGACATTTTGAATAATGAAATGAGTAAAAATATTTAAACCGTCTTAAATTTTAATTTTTAAACAATTTAAGACTATTGAATAGAGTACGAACATATATAATTTAAAAACTGTATATATCAAAAATTTTATTAAGCCATTAAGTTAAAATATCACGAAGAAAATCATGGAAAGTTTTAATGATTTTTGTTAGTGTGATTTAGATGGGTATTATTATTTATTTTGTTTGGATGCAATCTAGAAGGTAGGGTTTGAAAAGTTGTAGAAATATATAAGATTTAAAGAGTGGTTAGTTGATTTTAGGGTTCAACGTTTTTGAATGGTAGGTTGGATGATGGGTCAAAAGACGGCTAAAATGGATTTGTTTGGGAAATGAAAGTTGCAAATTCTACGGTGGATCCTTAATTTGATCCATTGGTGAATAGATGATTGAACGTTTGACCAAAACACACTTGAAAAAAATATTGACAAATCATATGCCTCAAATTTTGATATTAAGAAAGAAACATGGCACTCAAGTTATACATAATAATGTAAATTACATTTGTTATATTTATATTTATCATTCTTCTCTTTATATTTCTCTATATTATTTAAATTTTTACATCCATTAATAATTGCTTTCTAAATAAAATAACAGTAACCCTAAATATGTGGTGATATTTTGATGTTAATTAACCTCCTTGATATTAATCACCATATTTAAAGCGTAATCTATATTTTAGAGTTGAAGTTTCCATCACACGTTTGTTTTTAATGAGAAGTTGTTATCACTTGCTTTGTAAGAGCTGAAGTTGTAAAAATAAAAAATAAACAATAAAGATATAGTCATTTGATTATTAAAACTTTAGTAGATGCTATTAGTTTAAAAAAATCAGAAAATATAAACAGATAATCATATTAGTTCAAAATTAAAACCAAAACTTTATCATATCACAGATTATTAAAATTAAAATTTCTTAAATTTTGTTACATCGATTTTTACTATGTTTTTTATTCTTTTGATGATACGCAAAAGGTTTGTTTAGTTTTTTAAATGAAGAAACAAGTCTTCGTAAACACGTAATTTACCTGATTTTGCAAATGTTGTTTCCAATTCTGCTTAAATGCATCATCACACGAAAAACCCTAAAATAAGTCGATGCACGTGGTTCCAAATTTCAGAGAAGAAAGAAACTTATCAACAACTCCTTATAAATATTTATATTCATTTAAAAACTATTTTTTTAAAACTATTATTGTGTTCACAACTTCAAAATAATTTTGGTTCATGCATATACATTTATGCATAAGAAACTAAATCATTGCCTTTAATGAGTCATAACTAAATAACTATAAAATAATAAAATTTATTTAAAAAACCAAATAAAAAAATTGTTTGAGATTCTACATAAATTAAAAATAAAGACAAATTCTATATAACTATAAACATTAGTTTATAAAATAATTTTATAAAATTGAATTAAAATTTTAATTTTACATACGAGTTTATTATAACTTGATTTTTTAAGATCACCCACCATCAAATATCAAATGGTTGAGAAAGATAGAATAAAAGTTTAACAAATAAACCGTCAAGCAAATGAGAATAGAGAGAGAATTATACTCTGTAGATAAAGGTTTGTTTTTAATAATTGATATATTCAAAAAAGAGTTGACACAAATTTTCAATTTTAAATATAAAAATAAGTTAAGAAAATAATTGTTAAGGATAGAAGTAGAATAGTAACTGTGGACAATGTATTCTATTTATATATTATTATAGATGTTAGAGATAAATAAATGAATAAAAGAGTAAAATAAATAAATATATATATATATAATTAAAATAAATAAATAAATAAGATAAAATAACCCTCATCACGTGTGATAGTAAAATAAGTATAAATAAAAATGAAATTAAATAATAAAATAATAAAAAAGTAAAACAATTTCTACACAATCTTTAAAAAGTAAAATAGATATTAAAATAAATTTTCTAATATATTTAACTTAAAATTTATACACAATTTCTGATAAATAACCATTTTTTAACCTAAAATATTTTATTTTTAAATGACTTTTTTTTTAAAATTTAACTTTTTTATATTTAACTATTTCAAACTTAATCTTGTTTTTAAACTAAAAGAACTATTTATAATAAGAAAAAAATATTTTTATATATAAAATTATTTATATTTATTTTTTATAGTGATAATTTTATTAATTTTTTATCAATAAAGAAAAGTGTAAATACCACTAATTTTAAAATAATTTGGAAAAGTTAGTCCAATAATTAAATATTTTTTAGTTATCGACGATTCATATGACATAAAATTCTTTACCTATTATTAGTCGAGTATCATTGTTACTCATAATTTTATTATTATAATTATCGTTTTATTATTGGTATTATAATTTAATGCATATTAAATATTGAACACACTGACTCATTTGATTTTGGATAAATCTACAATATATAATTTACATCATCTGTTTTTTATCTTTAGAAACAAAACACTACTATTGTACTAAGTTAAATACTGTTTATTTATTTGTAGTACAAAATAGTATTTTAGATAGATAAATGTCGTTGCATATTGTGCTAAGGACAATCCCTTTTAAATGTGGTACTATTCTTCCTCGGTAGAGATGGACTGGGCTTAATATCTATTTACGAACCCACATTGACTACAATAAGGCCATTGCTTTCTCAACCTCCACAATTACTAATTACACCATGCAATACCAGGAAAAGACTCCAACACCCTTCGCCTCACCACACCATCACTATCACCTCATCTCAAAAAGTTTTTCATTAACGTTTTGTTTAGTAGAACAATATAGATTGAATTGAAATTGAAATTAACTAAATCCTATATAATTTAAGTCAATCTATTAAATTATTAATTAGGAATGATAATGTGAAGTGAGTCAGGATATTCCGTAAATACACGAGAAAAAGTGTCAAATAAACAGAGTATTTTAGCCTACGGATCTGTTTATATCCATCTTGCATAACTCACAATTTGTGTAGACGGACTAACATGTATTTAGTTATAAAAACACTTATTTAAATTCTTAAATCCAGTAACACCAACAATATATTGTATGTTTTTTTAAACAAATTTTTTATTTATATTTTTTAATAGTTCAGCTAAAAGTAGTTAACTCATTCAGGTCCAATTTACCCAAAAATAATTTCTCAATTCATATTTATTTTAATGTTTAAATTCAGTTTAAAGTCATTTCTATTTCTATATAAGATTTACTTAAATATTAGAAATTATAAAATTATAAATATTATTTAAAAAAATAAACTTATAAATTTTATTATTTGTAATAATTTAATAAAAATAAAAGTACTAAAATCTCACGTCTTAGTATTTAGAAGAAATTATAAAACAAATAATTTCTTACACATAGCACAGACCAGTCAATTACAAATATTATGCAATAAAAGACAGAAAAATTAGCCCATATCTTCTATTTGGACCGACTTATCTTGTTTTTCATAAATCAAATATAGAGTAGATCAAAACGGATAAACCAACTTATATTGTTATCTCTATTATTGAAATGATTGAATAATTAAATTATCTAACTCAATTAAACCGTTCAAATTTAGACCAAATACACAGTTTGTAAAGAACACATTTAAAAACACTTGCAAAATTTGTTTTTGTGATTCCTACTAACCATTGACATAATAGACATTTGACCTATATTCTATTAGGTGTCACCCTCTTTCAAAGTAAATCGTAGGGTAGGTTAAAGTTAAAAAGTAAACAAATTACAACCCTTTGTCTCAAAAGCCTAATTTTAGAAGTCTAACTGGAAATAATTTCAATACGAAGCACGAAACAACCAAACTTTAAAAAAGAAAAAACACCAGAAAACCAAATTTTAATAAGTGGAATTTTTTTTCCAATTTATATTATTTTTTATTTTTCTTCAACAAAAAAGAAAACAAAATACAATATAATTACTAACTCAATTATATCTTGTATTTGTTAAGCAATATTCTTTATTTAATACATTTTAGTGTAAAGACATTATATAGTTGAAATCAAATGATTAAATACATATATTATATAAAAGATATAACATCGTCAGATGGAATAATATTTTTAACGAATTTCTACAGGGAATATTGTACTGATCCAACATGACAAAAAAGATAATAAGATAAAGTAAACTACATATATTATGGGTACATTAAACAACTAATTAAAATAGAATAAAATAATTGATCCTATCTTAACATATATTCTATATATCTTGACTACCAAAACTAAATTTTGTTCTTAATACTTAAACAAAACATACAGAACGGATAATTCCATAAATCCTTTTTGAAAACGCAAAACGTGAAAGCATAATTAATTTCGATTGCCACTGCCATATTCAGTGCAATTTTTTGTCTTGTTTTCTTTCCTTTTGCTTTTAGCATTGAAAGACAATGG